CCCTATCCCAGCTGGACCCAGGACAGACTCTTATCTAGCTGAGGCACAAAATATACTTTGCTGAGTCATGACAGCAAGCCAAACTGCTCAAACTGCCTATTAAATTTATATACATATATATGTATATATATACATCTATATATAAAAAACTCTTCTCAGCACAGATGTGCAAGTCAACAAGACACAGCTCTTTTGACAGAGCAACAAGACTTGCACAAGCTTTGTAGAAAACATACCTTGGAAGAAGAACCCTATCTTAAATTCCCTCTTGGTTCTTCTGGTCTCAACCCGTACCCTCGACATGACCTCTCCTTACCCTTCCTCCTTCTCAGAAAGGCCATGTTTTACAAATAATCTTCTCAGGCAGATGAAGGGGATTGAAAAGGAGAACTAGCAGATCAGTGATTCAGTGTGTCATTTGACCTTTTGAAAATTTCCACTGAAAAAAAACTATGATTATTTTTTCTTAGCTTAGGAACAGCACAATTTGGAGTAATACTCCCCTTTATTGCTATGGCTCTATTCTCTTTCCCCAGTCCTGATTTCTTTCCCCTGCTAATTTCAGCATCGTCTCTATAACAGGTTCACAGAAAAAAAAAAATCTCTCCAACTACCTGACAACATCTACTGGCTCAGTAAAGCAGCCTTAGCAGCAAAGAACTATTTGCTGGCTTGGCAGGGTTAGTCTGGCTGTGTGTTACCCTGCCTCTCCAACGATGGACGTTTCTGCAAAAGTGCATAGATGAAAATGAAATAGGGCAAGACAGATATGAAGTTGATTTTCTTTCTGACAGCCTAAGGACTTAAAAAGAAGCCTGGGTGCCTGGGGTTTTAAGCTGTAAACTTGCATACAGAAAATGTATTTCTTGACCATCTTACTCCAGAGAGGCAAACAGCTGCAGCCCTCTGGGCAACTCACTTCTGAATGCCTCCCAAACAGTTTGATTCTAGTCACACTTAAAGGATATGCCATGACAGCATGCCTGGTCAACAAGAAGAGTTGTTTAAATTATTTTCCATCTCTTCTTTCATTCTGTACCTCTGGGTATGCCATCCTCCTTGAAGCCTGGCTCCCTGATAGAGAGGAATGACCTGCCTGGCTGGCCAGAGGGCTTGTCCAACAGAGAGGGGAACATTCCAGCTACCAGCACTGCAGAGACAGCTGTCCACCTCCCTGCTCTGCTGCAGCACCACACACACTCCTAAGGCCCTCTTTGGGGAAGGCCAAGTTAAGTCAAACTTTTCAACTGGTCACTAACAGCTATAAATTTTTCCTCTCTGCCCTTGAACAAGGCAAGGATGAAGTCTCATCCTCCCTGCAACCAACCGCTGTTATTGGTGGGACCAGCATTTCGAGCCTCTGCCTCACCTAAAAGCATTCAGTAGGCTCATATTGCTCCTCTCCACCCCCCACCCCCCAAAAAAAGGGGTCTGGGTGCTCATAGTGGAAGCAGGTAGCAATCAGTTCCCCACTAAATCAGTTCCCAGAGACTAAATCAAAATTGTCTGCAATGAACTAGACTCAACAGCAGCATGGCTGATTAATTTTAGAATGAGAATCCATTGCCCAAACATATTCTCACACCATTTCAGATACTCTGTGCTACCCCAGGCAGCAGACTAGAGGTACGGCAGCCCAGCACAAGACTCACAGGTGACCATAATTTTGGAGTGCCACTGGGCAACCGACCTAAAAAGACAGTACAGGATTATCTTTAGGTAACTGAATTCCTCTCCCCTCTCCCTTCATATACATGTTCCAGAATTTAGTGGGTTTTTTCTAGTCACCTGCAAGGAAAGAAACAAGTCCAGAATCCTACAGCTTTGTTTACTCCAAAAAAGCATGTTATGTTGTGGGGGAGAGGAATAAGAAGAATTATTTAGAAGTTTTTTCATTCTCTGCCTGATCAAATTCCTCTATTCCAGATCAATGGCTACATGGATATTCACCTGCAACAGCTTCACACTCAATCCTGATCTGCACTAAGGGTCTCACACGCTGCTCTAGCCATGTGTAAGGGCTGCAGCCCTTTACAGGAAATGGCCACAAAGAAACCCTCACAGGACTCACAGTCCAGGATGAATTAAGGTTGGAATTAATGTCTAGCCAAAAAAAATCCCAGCAGCACAGAGCTGCTATCTCACATGTTGTTTTCTCCTTCACGACTACTACTTTCCTCTCTTCCCTTTCCTGCTACAGACAAGGTTTGAGAAGCAGAGGTTGTAGCTTCTTTAAAGGACATTTTATCTGCTTTTGGCTGTAGGCAAGCTCTTTAAGAAAGGCTCACAAACTAACTCCTTTTCTGTGTTGTTTTGAATACACTGTATAACTCATAGTAGAAACGGAAAATTAATCTTTCTGTGAGACTTACAGCAGGGATCAGGACAGATAATCAGAATTACTTTCAGGCTGGTACCTAAGGCAGGCAATCCGTTTCCCTTTGTTTAATGCAGTGAGGTTAATTCAGAAAGTGGATTTGACTGGTTGAACCATGCGCTAAGAAATCCATGCAAAATTTTAGCTTGGTGCACATACGCTGCGCAGAAGAGGCTTTCAGCATGCAGCGGTTTAAGAAAAGAAGTCTGTGACAAACAGAATACTTTACCAGTTATCAGAAGGGCAGAAGACTGATGGACAGAGCAGACAACAGATACACTAGACAGACAGATAAGTTGGTGGAGAGAATTAGTTTGCCTAAGGAGGTCTAAGCTCTGCTTTCTGAGAGTCACAGCCAAAACCTATCTATCTGACTCATGCTGTTACTCAACTTTAACAAGTGAGACAACACCCACTGTTTGACTTCACGGGCCAGTAACAATTCAAAATTTTCTTCCAAATTTCTAAATCATCCATGCTCATCAACAGCACAGTAAATTTCCATGGAGACAAATACAGAACAAGCACTCTTTTCCTATAGCATAATTGACCTATAAGCATGTGGGAATGAACACAGAATGTGTATGACAGTCAGATGACAACAACGGGCATACAAAGAAATATTTAGTTTCTGCTAACCTTCAGCCGTGTCACAAAGTGTTTCGCGACAGTAAGCTCTGAAGCAGGATTCCCAAGGAGGATCTCAAAACGATACTGCAGACCTAACTTGTCTCTTACTTCTTGTAACCTCTCCTTGGCCAGCATGGCTAGCTGCACAGACGGCACCCTAATGACGAGCATGTGGCCACAGCCATTCTTATCCTTTCCTGGAGAAGTAATAAGGTCATCCATTATGCTGAGCGTTTCGGGTGTGCTGTGATCTCTTAGTGACGCCATGGTTGTGAGAGCCATCAGAGCTTGGGAATACTGCTGAATGAGAAGGTAGCAGCGAATCACCATGCTGTGCAGCCGGGGGTACCTTTGAGGAGATACAATTCTGTGTTAGCACATGCAAAGCCACAGTAGTGTCTGAAAATTAGCCAAACCCCAGGACTGTGTGGTAAAGTGCTTATTTTTTTCAGCAGTGCTCAAAGAATGAAGCCTTCAATTTTCATGGACAATAATTTTTCACAAAATCTGTGTTTTAAGTAAATTAATATAATGTGGTCCAAGTGCAGAAGAAGAGGCAAGTCCTACACTCAAGTAACAGGAATTATAAATTTCCGTTCCCCTCATCTGGGACAAAATTTCAGCTGAAGATTTTTAACTTGACAGAGATATGGATCATCTCAGATCTGGTTCACTCCAACAGCACAGGCTAATAATTTCTTTGCTGTCCACAAGTTTTTTATTCTATGAACTCAGAAGACCATCACTGCTTTAAGTTGGCTTGTGGGCAAAATATTTCATAATTTCCCATCTCTCACCCTCTCACCAGAAAGTTAGGCTTGCCAGTAGGGATTGCTGGCTCTGAGCCAAACTGAACTTCCTTTATGTCTTTAAACTTACATAGGCAATGTTTCTTTCTCTCTCATTACAGCTATATGCAGTGACAACAGATATGAACTCACAAAGTAAAATGCTAAGGAAAAAAAAAAAAGATTCAAACCTACTAAAGCAAAAAAGCTAGACATTTTCCATGAGTTCACTCACCATTACAATATAGAAAAAATCTACACTATTATGCCTGAGTGCTAGTTTTGCACCACAGAAGTCCAAATGGCTAAAACAACTAAAGGCTCCAAATTTCTCTGGTTTCTTTCTTGAATAATGTAATAGATGATATGGCATCCATTTGAATAAAGTTTTGTGCCTGTCTTTAACCGGTAGGTACATTAACTTGCTCTGTATACCATAAACCAGTCATTAAATCAATATATTTTTAAAACACCTTTCACTCCTCCTCCCATAAAAGTATCCACTGCATTTTTGCTATTAAAACAAATAGAGTCTTTCTTATAACACCAAAATACCTGCAATGTTTTGAGGTTTATAAGCTTGGATGGCTCCCCACCCAGACAGAATAAATAAGCCAGTTTCTAAGGGCTAAATCAATAAACTGTGATGCAAAAGCACATCCTGGCCCCAGGGTACAGGCTCACCTTCCATCAATTTATACTCTTAACCTAACCTCACATCAGGGCAGTATTTGCACATGCATTAATTCTCCTTCATCTTTTTCCCCATCTGCATTTTAAGAACAGAAAGAGAGCAATAGTGTCCACTATCTCTTCTATTGGATTTGTCCAGAAAGACTATGGGAAGCTTAAAGAACCGACCTATTATGATTAACTGACCTTATTATTACTTCCCACATTCACTACTCACATATTTGTAGATAATAATAAATATTAATGATTAATACACTTAATTATTCATGTTGCTAATTTAGCACATTTGACACTTTATTTTACTTAATAAATACAGATACATTTACTATTATTATATTTACCTAAATAAAACAGGAAAACCAGTACGGAAGACAGAACAATCCTGCTCTAGTAAATACGAAAATACAGTGAAAACTATAGTTTGTAAGTTATACACTCCCCCCAGTTATAAGGGATCTGTCCTGCTGATACACAGAATAGATTAACTTCACATTGCTGGAAACAACAGTATTGCCCTCATTCCTGTAATGTGCACACTTTTTAATATCTTGGATACATGCTATGAAAGTAGCTTGTTCAGGCAGCCGCAGGGTACAAACAAGCCACTTCCAGGCTGAGCTGCAGGAACCAAAACCATAGGCAACTAATGAAATAACAAAAATTACATTTTTTTGTTATGATGTCACTCACCTGGAACACCACTGACAAGTCTGTTGGTAGTCTCAACAAGAAAGATGCCAGAAGTGGTGAGGTATGAAACCTCTGGTACCTTCTTAGATTACTAAGGGCTAAGCCAAAAGAAGAGAGCAGCACAGCTGAGCCCGGACTGCTGCTGAATGGGCCTAATCTCTTCTATAAAGAAATGAAGGATATCCCCCCTCCTTCAACAGCACTAAATTTGTTACAAAAATAAAAATTGCACATACTTCCCAGATTCTAAGATCAACATCAAAAGTCATCACATCTTCATCCCTCTGTGACGGGGCTCATAAATATATCTGTATCCTTAAGATCCCAATTAAGCAGAGTCCCAAAATCCCACGTTACTATTTACCTTTCTAAAAGTGTGTTGACCATTTTTTCAAAGGTTTCGTCACATCTCAGAAGGGGACTTGTGACTCCCCATTGGAGGGATTTGCTGTATTCATTCAAACCAAAGTACAGCTTGTCTTCACTTGCTGCGTCATCCTGTTCCATACAGAGATAGCAACAACGTAAGGAAAACCAAAACCAATTTTAATTTCTTTTGTCATTTAAAATAAGTGGAGAGTGTTTTCCAAAGCAAAGTATCCTTTCTTTTTATTTCCTTCTCCCTCAGTGATGCCATTTGTTTGTTTCAAAGAATATAATAAAATGTAAAGTGTTTTTTACTTACTATGTGTCTACAGCTAGGGAAGACAGGTGTAGGTCCTTGCAAATTTTTCAATATATCTCCTAGCTGTTATTGCAGGTGGTTTCTAGAAACCTACTAATTATTTTCTGACTCCCTATCTATGGCTTTCTATCTGCTGACAGCTGTTACCTCATTTCTATCTAAAGCAGAACCTGAAAAGAGAAGGATTATTAATTTCCAAAATTCTTCTTGATTGTCAGATTCTACACATCTCTAACGGCAATCAGAAACTGATAATTTCTTTGCTGGAATGTAAATCTTCAGACAGCAATCAGAAAGGCAGAATATTTGCTGCCTCAGATTTCATGCGGCCCTTGCTGGTAGCACTGTGCACTTACATCACCAGTAATCACTAGGAATGTAACTAATCACATACAGCTTCCTCTTTTTTCTGAGTTATTTTTTTAATTGTAAGACCAAGGTTGTTGATTTTTTACTTTTGGGAAACAAAAAATTGTATAGACCATTTTACAGAAGGTCACCACAATGGCTTATATTAACAATCAATCAAAAAGCAAATTTTGAATATTTCATTCACCCCCTCATATCCACTACTCTGTTAGTTTGACTTGAACTAGTTTTTACAGCTACCACTTTTAGACACTTTACAGAAACCAATGGTCCACTCAACACAGTAAAGTCAAGCTTCATATAAATACACCAAACAAGGAATTGGAGAAAAGGCTATTTTTAAACAGGTTTAGCCAAAAAATCCTGAGAATCAGATGGCTGAAATGGTGAAAAAAGCTAATGGTGCAGAACATCAGATTGTCTTCTCTGCACAATGGTGGCACCTGCTACACTGTAACTTGTTAACACAGCACACAACTTTTATTAGTACCAGAAAAGTAATGAACAGAGTTGACATATAACTTAGTCAAAAGTCAGACTGCTTGAAAATGGAAAGCCAGCTCCAGAGCTTTGTGGCATGTCTACATAGTTTTGTCTGACCAAAGCGTAAGAAAGTCAATTTCTCATCTTGCATGACTGGACAAAGAAAAAACGTGCAGTTCCCAGGGCTATGGATCTGGAGCCTGCGAGAACAAATTCCAGCAGAGGAAGAGCTCCCTTCTGACAATTTTCTTTAATACGCATCTGCTAGATTGCTTTAGGCATGAAGTCCACATTAACGGTCACAGTTAAAATTAACAATTAAACACTTACCACAGTATCAAATTGTATCCAATGTACCTCATTGCTAGAGCTGATCCTGGACTGCTGCGTTTGCAGTGCATAAGGAAAAGAGCTGACCTGAAGAACAAGGAGGTTGAATGCTTCAAGGACCTCCCTGCAATTAATAACTCTATCAGCCAGACCATGACTAGGCTCACCATGTGACAGGGAACTTGAAATGGCACTGCAGAAATAAGAACGCAAAGAATTGCCTTACTGACATCCTGAGAATCAATGGATTACTCTCTTCCTGCAGAAAAAAATCCAAATGACCACAGGACTGAGAGTCACAGCTCAAAAATCTCTTTGGAAGGCTGAAAGATGTCAAAACCATTTGAGTGTTCTCTGTGGGTAGACTCAGGTAACAGGGAAAAAAAACCTAATAAAGGACCAAAATCTGATGACAGCGACAAGGTGAATTAGTGTGCCAATTTGAAAGAGCATCAGATGGAGGAAACCAGAAGTAAGCCAAAGCTGATGAAATCTCTCACTGAGAAACACTGTACCATGAGCTGTGACGTTAGGATATGGCAATAATTTTACAAAATCCAGTATATTTTTCAGCCTGAAACATTCTCCTAAAAGGCTAGGGAACCTGATAGTCTCTTGACATCCTGATTTCCAGCTTCTAGAATTACCTTTGCCTCCAAGATATTGAGGAATTCCAAAATCAATGTACAGCAAAGACAGTAACAAAATGCAATAGGGGGATAAGGTAGGAAGAATGTTGCTTTTATCTATTTTCAGCTGTCCTTCAAGTGAAGTATTTTGTTTATCATAACTCCAAATTTCAAATGAATCCCACAGCCTTATGCACCACATCTAAATCACATTAACATTATTCTCCTCAGTTTATGCATGGAATAAGAGCAGAATAATTAGCTTTACTTATTTCTTTCTTTTTCCATAATAAAGTTGTGATTCAGCATGAAGAAATGTTTCTGCACACATATGTGTGTGTTGCTCTGTTTAGACCTAACTGACCAAATTCAACACAGCTGTTTTTTAAACCCTTTTCTTACAGTAGTTAGGGCATCTTTCAGATGATGCAGAGAGTTAAATGTCTGTAAGCCTTCTTATATTAAAAACAACACTATCATCGAGGATAAAAACATGAATTAAAATATAAGTGTATTGTGAACGTGGGAGAGATTTTGGTTTGAGTAGAGAAAAAGGAGGGGAATTGGAAAAAAGACAAGAAAAACGAAGAAAGTTGCAAAATTCAGCCCTTTTTCCTGGACTTCAGTACCATAGCACTTACCCCTACAAACAATCTTGTTAGGGATCCAAAAATCTGAAACCAGTCTCACCTATCTTCGACTGATCAGAATTAGTTAACAAATATCATGGGTAAGCAAAAAAGAAAATTTCTCATTTTGAGGCACAAAATGCCTTAGGCCCAGAGAAAGCATTGGGTATCTAAGATGGTAAGTGTTTTGAAAAAAACTATTTGAAAGATGTTGGGAAAGGATGATTTCTGTTTGGTAGACTGAAGCAGTTACCTTGTAAAATCCACATGGGCATTGTCATGAACCAGCACAAAGAGTGTATATGGATTCTGCTTCACTCGTCTCATAAAAACTTCAAATTTTGTTTGAATCTCATTGTCTAGCTGAACCACGTATTTCTCAGCTCTCTGATAGGCTGTTCCATTGTCTTCTAGGCCCAAGTCCACAAGGACACCTGTCAGAAAGAATACAACAAAAGTCCTTTAACTTTTAAGTGCATCCAAAAATGAAGTGTCAGCAGTAGGTTGCCACTTGTCCACCAATATTGGGACTTGGCCAAATCACTGGTACACCATAGTAAGATGACGATTATCTGAATGCATTTTCTCTCACAATGGGGACTGAAAAATGCTTCTTGGCTTCTGGATTTCCTCCAAAAAGTGCCTGAAGACCTTTCAAAGAGTTCTCATATGAAAGCATGTGCACAAATGTGTATCTAGAACAAATGGCACTAACAGCTCTAGGGGATAAAAAATCTGAACAGTTGCATTTGCTCATCCCGTCCCTCTTTTGACAGGTGAATGCTTCTCCGGCTCACACATTCCTCAGACCTGCATGAATATGGCAGTTTCTTTTGACACTTACATGGTACAACTTGGGCCCAGTTTATGAAAAGAAGACATTTACAATTCATCAATGATACCAATTAATGGAGCTAATATCGGACATGCAAAACACCTGCTGGAACAACTTCTCCATTTACACCAGATATAATTTAATAACATCACATAGTTTGATTTAACAGTCTCTTTTCTCTCCCCTCCCTTTTACCTGATTGTCGAATTTGAACCAGGACTTCTGAACGGGGAACTATAACGATGAAGTCTACTTTGCTGAAGTGGCCCAGATCCAGGCTCTGATTGCCACTGTCTGCTATAGCACAAACCTGGGACAAGAGCTTTCTGGCAACTGTAAGCTGTGGCTGGTAAATTTGGAAGGTATCAACATCCAAATCTAGAGTGTGTGTGTTTGAAAAAGAAAACAAAACACAACAAGAAACTTGTTTACTTTCCCACCCCCCCAATGAACATGACCCTCCAAACAGCCTACCCTCTATTATCAGAAAAAAAAAAATCACTCACCAGAATAAATATCAACACTCTGGAGAGCTCTGTCCAGATCACAAATGTAAACTTTATTTTTTTGATTAAAATGTGATAATATATCAGATGACCTCAAGTATAGCACTGCCCATTTTTTAAATGCCCTAAGTGTTTTGAGGATTTTTAACAGTGCAACCCAAGGAAACCTCAATGCCAACGTACTGAAATGCATTATGTTAAATGAACCAATATATACATAATATGCATGTGCATATATGTATATATAAAAAGCATATATATATTTATACACACACACACACGCACAGAGCTCTGATGTTCTCCTGAAGCTTGCAGTTGTTCTTCAGGAGCTTCCCTCCATCACTCCTGCTGGGAGAACCAGCCATGGGTGCTGAGGTTGCTGTGCTCTGGGCACGATGGGATGAGAGCCAGCACACCTGTTAATCTGAGTAAACCGAGCCTGCAGTGATAATCTTGCCAAAAAGACTCTAACAGGACAGCAGGTCAGCTGGGAGTTCGTTTGTACATCGTGTCTGCTCTGGAGTACTGAGCCCCACTCTAAGTTATGACTGAGATAGCTGTGTGTCTATGTACTGACTGACAGTAATACACACTGTGAAGGGAAGATGAACAATACACCTAGGCAATAAATCTCAATTATTGGAGGGGGGGAGCTTTTATTTTTTTGGAGGTTTCTTGATTTTTAACAAAATTTTAGTCTTGGATTTATTTGAGCCTAATAAATGTCAATGTAACACTAGCTGCCGGGAACTGGGGGACTCAACCTTTGCTCTGTACAGATACGTACCAGAGCGTTCATATTTCCTCAAAGAAAAAGCATGTTCCTGTATTTCATTATTTCCAGTAGATAAATTCTATGCCCAACAATCCATGTTTCACTGGTCCCTGAATATTTTCACCTTGCAGATTATCAAAGTAAATCCTATAATGCCACTATCGTTTTTATTTATGTTAAGTTTTTCTACTACAAATTAAATTCTGATTAATGGACTGTTTATCATAAAAATTACCTAGGGCAAATTTCTTAAAAAAACAAAAACAAAAACAAAAAAAAACAAAAAACAAACCAAAGAAAAAATCCAAAACTATTGCAAATTTAATACACAAGAACTATTGTTACTTTTCTAAGCAATAAGTCACTTTATAAAATCTTCCCATTTACATGAAAATTGGAAGGTGTTTGGGGTGAAAACCTGGCATGTTAATTTCATAGAGACACATGTGCTTGTGTGTGTGTGCTTATCAAACCTGCCTCAGTGTTCATTTCAGGAGATCTGCTTTGGCAGAAAGGTCCCTCTCACTGCCTAGGAGACCTCCCTTTCCTTTTTTTAACACAGGCAGATTCCCAGTAGCTTCAATCATTGTATAGCCATATTTTAAAGACAAAACTAGCTCAGAATAATCATTTGAGAAAACATGAAGTTTTTAAAAAGTACCACTGCACTTCATTACATAGTAAGAACAAAAAAAAAAAACAGAATCAAAAGATTTTTCTCCCTTCAAATTAACCCTGTGAGGAAGCTCAAGTCTTGTCCCTCTGGGGGTGCCAGAACAAAATACCTGGCAGCCTTCCTAGTTGGATCTTATAGTTTCCACATGGATCAGGATCCACCTTGCTTTCATTCAAATCTAAAACTGGGCTGATCAATTTAAACTAACTATCGTCAGACAAGAGCATACCTTTCTTTCACAGGGAAAAAGCTTTATTGGAGGCTGAATTTGCTTTGATATTAGACCTAAAAGAATCTCAGTGTTGACAGCAGCTCAATGTATCTTTTACCATTACTGTCTTATGAAAAGGCAAGTATGGTTAAAACTCTGAATAATGAAAGAATTCTAAAATGGGAAAATGACAAACAGCATTTTTAGACAGACAATCTGAGCTCATCTTTTGCACCTACACACCTCATCGCATTATTATTATTACCGCATTATTATTATAAAACACATCGCAATGTAGATTACACTTGCCCAGCACTTTCAGTCCGAGATCTTAAAACACTTTCCCTAAAAGTTTAAGCCTCAGGGAACAAGTCTGTAGTACGTATTATTACCATTTTACATGGGAAAGTAAGGAATATTAAAAGTTAAGATACAGGAGGACACCTGGGGAGATCAGAAGGAGAACACGGTTCGCCTCTGCCTTAAGCCCAAGGTTACATTCCTTTTCTAGGTGCAAAAGGGTGAGATGAATCCACACTGCCAGTGTTACAAAGGAACATCTCTGCTCTGCCTGGTGCAGAACAGAAGATCACGTATCTTAGCTTTGGCATTGTAAAACATTTGGGAAAAATGTTGATGAAGGTTCCCACAGAGATTTTCTGTCTGAGAGACTGCTGTACTGCTACATTCAGCTGGCAGTATTAATATTTGAAGTTTGGCACACTGACTGCAGCTGTGCCCTCAGACTCTTCTGAGGCACGTGCATTTTGACATTTAACAAACTACTCACTTATTTCATATCTTGCATGTAAAAAAAAAAAAATTTACCCGGTTCTTGTGTAGAAACCATGGCAATTGCCTCCTGAGATGACACGCACTCACTAACATCTCCATTGAACGGAATAACAACACTTTCCCCTCGCTGCTGTACCATCTTCTCCAGCAGCTTGTCCAAATCATCACCTAGAGAAGAATCAGCAACACTGAATTATCTGGAAGCCATTTCAGACAAATGAGGTAGAACACTACATGCACACATGTTCCCACATAGCTGATGTCAAATCTGCAAAGGGGCAGGGGACCGGAGATACAGGGAAGAGAGGGAGGGAGAATATTCTTCTCTTTTATTTACTGATTTGCCAGCTGAAAGAATTCCAAAAAAAGAACCCACAGCTGAATAATTTCAGGTCTATGCCTTCACTGCTAGGGGTGAGATCTGGTGACTACAAAGAAACACACACTAAAAGCCTCTGCTGAAACCTGTGCTAATAGCACAAACAAGAAAAGACTCATGCACTTACGGGTGCCCTGCCATCACAGTTAGCAGTATAAACCGTGTTAAAACTGTATTGTCACGGGGTGACTAACTTGCACTGCATGGGTAAAGGGAGATGAGCACTCCTTTACAAGCAGCAATTGGAGAGAAGGAAAGAATGCCTCTCAGAGATGAACAGGAGACACACCAACCCTAAAGAAACAACTGTCTTGGCTAGAACTTCTGTGTTTCTTAGGTTCACTCACCTAAAGATGTATTTTTAAAATGCGACGCCAGGAAACTAACTTTCCCAGTGATGAGCTCGTAACTGATCTCTTTTAAAAATTCACTGGTGGTAAGCATGCTCTCTGCAAGTGCCCTAGATTGATATTGACCTGGAGAAAAGGGGGGCAAAAGCAAGAGCCATCTTTAATACAGTGCATACTCAACATAACCTTTTCATCCTAGAGGTGTAGGGCATGCTGATCTTCAGTCATGGATCTCTGCTGCCTTTACCCAATAGACTGGGAGAGGAGCCTCAAAGTCCATTTTGCTAGTGATGGAAGGATTAGTTATATTGTTTTAGTACATTCTTTGTAAGCTGTTGCTCATAGTTTTGCACACTTGGATGACAAATGATACGCAAAATAAGTATTTGTACCTTAGATTGAATGGAGGATTCTGGTTAAATACTAAAAAGTAATTATCCCTAGTGTGAAAAAAGTAAAAAATTGACATTACTGATTTATCTGCCTACAAAGGAAAGACGACCAGTCAAAATTCACTTTCATACACACATACTCATGCACACTCAAAAATCACAGCCAGTCACCAACGTGAAATTTGAAAATCAACATCATAAAAAGGATAAAAAGCATGTTCTGTTTTACAGTGGTCTGCAGAAGACAGTGGTCAGTCCAATATTGCCATAACACAGCTGTTAGGCAAAAAAAAGACAAACTGACTATCTTGTCACTGAGTCACTTCAAACAATAAAGTTTCAGGGCTCTCAAGGAGTAGTAATGACTAGCATTAGCTATTTCTCTAGATCCTTATGGACAGCAGTACTCCAAGTCTTGATGGAGGAACAGTAAACTGTGACATTGCAGTGTAACAATACAAAGGAGGATAAAAAGAACAAAAGGGATTTAAAAGCTGGAACAATGTCTTGAGAAAATTAATTCAGCAAAATTGAATTGGTATTTGAAGTGTACTGCAAATATACTCACCTAGGACTACTACACAGAATTCATTTCCTCTTATCTTTGATGCACAAATGGCAACAACATAATCTGGCAGCTTTTGCTGATGTTTCATTTCATTGAGAGACCTCAACGTCTCCGAGATGCCCTCTGCCAGCGAGTTCTGGGTAACAACCACATGCACAAGGTCCCGGGACACGCTAGCGATTAACCTAGCAAGCCAAGGGAGTTGACCTGGTGACACAGAGATACACTGTGCGCTCATCTGCAAGGATCGCTCTCGTAGAGTGAACTCCTGCATAGCTTTCAACATGATCTGCTCAAATTCTTCCCTCAGGGGTATCTGGTCAGGACCTACATTGAAAACAAACAAAACAGAAAAAAAGTATCTCATATCAAAATGTTATTGAACCTGAAACAATCACGTCTTGGTCTGACAAGCTCCTTCACCATTTTTTTTATACTTACAAAACTCTCTTGCTATTCAGTGGATATCTATCCACATGGCATATTCTTCCTTTTTCATATTAGAAGCCTCTCTCACTCACCATCTCCCTCTTTTTTTTTTTTTTTTAAACAATGAGCTAGTTCATCTCACTCCTAGTTTTCTGCCCTCAGAAACTGGTGGTACAAACAAGGGAGTGGGAAAATATCTGCCTTTTGCCTGGAACAGAAAGATTAATCACATAGCCTCCATTTGTTTTTATAGCAGAAAATCCAAATGCTTATCCTCGCAGTCTGATGGCAGCCACGCAGGATGACAGAGCCTGTCAAGTGGTTGTCATTTGCTTTTTCTCATCATGCATACTAGTAAACTAAGCATGGATATAAATAAACATGTTTATCTCTTCTTTTATTTTATTTGAATTAGATTAATTTGGCAAATCTTAAAATTTCTATAGTTAAGAGTTATATGCAACTTTAGATCTACATTCCCCAGACTTTGTAAACTGTATTGTGAACTTGAATTGGAAAACAGAAATATAAGCTCTCCTATCTTAGCATCAGTCCCCTAACTCAGCTTCAATTAACATTTTGCTCAGTAAGATTTGTCTCTTTGTCAAAGATATTCAGGAACAGACAAAAATATTCATTAACACAGAGCAAGAAGTAACCATAGCTTAAATTTCCACAAGATCTCATGTCAGTGCCAAAGGAGAGAGCTTCACACTTCAGCAGCTTGCTTTTCTATGAGAAAAAGGAGAGGCTTAAGTACCAAAGATAGGTGAAATGTTGCGGTTTTGGTTTTATGTTTTCTTTCAGGGCCACAAACAACAAGCAAAATGGGCAGTGAAAAAAGGAAACAAAGGTTGTTTGAGAAGCAGGGCAGGGAGTGGGTAAATAACCTATAGTACAGAATCTGTAAAAACTGCCACCTGTTGTCATTTTGCCTTTTTGAGAAGTAACATACGGAGAGTATCACCATCAAATAACCACATGATGGTAAGACAACTATAAACTTGTAAAAGCAAGGCTGTTTTCATTTTTGATGCAAACCAAAAAGTTCTGATGAGTCTGATTTAATGCAGCATGGGCATAATTCTGTCTTTATAGTTCTCTTTTTTTTGGAAATATATTTTCTTTTCCCTTCTAATGCATCACGCATTCTAGATCTTTGAAGATCTTGAAAAAGAAAAAATAGACATTTATTGACAGAGAGATAAATCTTCTGCAGAAATAAACTCTACCTACAACATATCAACCACAACAAAAAAGATGTTATATGCTAAAGAAATAGAAGCAAGCTTTTGAGGGAGGTTACTTAGGAGACAGGCTCTAGACACAAGGACATCATGAATCCAAGAAAATGAAAATAATTGTACAAATGGAAAGAATTCTGCATGAGAACACACAGAATTTCATTCAGATGATTCGTAAGAGAAAAGCTTTATTTTTTAAGTTAGTTATCAGAAAGGCACTCATAAGGAAATATTTTGAAATTAGTGAAGTGTTTAATACCACACTTCGCTCATAGCACTCTTTCTCCACAACTATCCAGAAAAGTAATGGAACTAATATTAGATGAGATGGACGACAAAATGATAGATACTGATTTTGATTGTGAACAGTTTCATAAATACATTTACAGGAATCTGTCAAGGTTCAAAGGGAATATTTAGAAGCTTCTCTACAGAAATGAGTACGTAAAGGATCATCTTCAGAAAACAAAACTGTGAAATAAATAATACCATAAAATATTAATACCAGAAAAAAATTTTATTAAGATAGTTAACGCTTCCAAAAGCACCCACAGTTTAAGACAACATATTCAAATATCCATTTCTGGGTAGACACACTTCACAGTGCATCCCACAGAGAACTACTCCAACCATTTAAGACCAGAATTGCTGGAATAAGCTCTTGCTTTGAGTGTCTGAATATCCCTTCCACTGAAGACAGAGGCTTGCTCCTCCTTGAATCTGGATGTGCATTCAGATATTGAATCTACAAAAAACCTCTGGGTGCCAGGACATACACATAGTCAAAGTGGTTCAAATGTACCACAACAAGAGAGAAGGGAGAATGATTTTACAATTGTAGACAGGTAGTCAACAGAGGGTCCATAATTGTCCTACAGCTGAAAAACCAAAACACAGACCTTAGAACGGTGTAGGATCATTATGAAATTGCTTAGCTGATTTCCAAAAACGCAACAGCATTATCCTACAATTAATAATCTTGTCATAATCTTACAGGAAAACTGAAAGGAATTCTCAAATATATTTTTTTTTCAAAAAAAGGAGCACTTTATAAATAATATTCTTACGATCTGTAATCACAGTCACCTGCAAATGTATGTTGTACAAGTAGCGAGATCTGAAAAACGTTAGGCAAGACTCAGTAGCTATTTCATTCTTCTGTCTACTTTTTTACCTTTGCCTTTATCTTTCTCTTTCACAGTTCACCCTGGAAGCCAGAATAATTTTTTGCTCCTAGTTTCTCCAGGAAAAAAGAGGCTCACATGAATAAACTGTAAATTTGTGTTGTATTTGTCTGTTCTCCTTGTTAAAAAACTTTTGAAGCTGGCTGCCCTCCAATCATCTTGAATCTGCTTTGATTTTACAAAATGGGATAAAGGCTACAGTTCAGTGCAACTGTCACAATTCCAAAAATTTTTAAGTTTGTAGCAATATTCAAACTAGCGATATCTTTTGATCCCCATGCTCTGCAGAATGTTTTTACTTTTCTCCTCATTAGGGTCTTTCATCTTACAGTGCTGGCGCCCATCTTCACATAAGACAAAATGGAAAACTACTCAGCTTTGCACAGCTAGGAGCAAAAGCCAAACCAAACACCTGCTAATACGGGAAATGCTTTATGCCGAAGGCACGGTGCTCGCTAGACACAGCTCAGCCCAGCTCCAAAAGCTTTGCATGAGGCCTCCTCTAGTTTGCAGCAAGTATGGACTTGCAGTATACAAGGTTGGATTTGCTCATGGAGTGTGTGGTTCAATGACTCGATAGATTTTAATAAATATTTTTAATTGTTAATGCTGTATCAGCTGGCTACATGTTTCTCTGAAGGAAATTTGCAAGCTGCCTGTATCAATCCAGAACTGTGCGAAGCAGCTGGCTTTAACATGAAGACTCTACGAACTTTCCAATGAAGGTGAAAACCTCAAATAACAAATTTAAGCCCACTGAGAGAAGCGCAACAGAAAAACATTCAGCCTGCAAAAAATAAAGGAACCCTCTGTCAGTTCTAACCTGGCATCCAATGGACTATTGAAGCAGAGAATGATAAATAAAACAAACAGGTCAGTCTGAGAGAATTACATGAGAGATGGCCTCCTTCCTGTCTGTAACAGTACTGCATCAAGGGAGAAAAGCAAAGCATAAGCACCCATGGGTGAAACCTGCAGAGCACATTTGCTCCCCAAACTAGAGGGTTATCACCAGCTGTGCTTCTCTTGAAACATTTGTATATTTCATACCATTATGTATTACAGATACCCTAACCCAGTACAGGAAAAGCCGTGTGCTCTTCGCAAAAGTAATTTCTCACTCCTCTATGGTAAGCAGCATCTTTCCAAATAAAGAAGTTAAGACTGAGACTGTTGTGAGAAGTTTCCCAGTGCTATTCTGCATTATTTTCTAACTTCTAAAACCTTGTCTTTAACACTGCTGCTTTTTACTCTAAGGTAGGGAAAAGTGTCTGGACCTGCAATAAGGGAAAGAAAATGTGGTTTGCTGGTTTGCTCCCCAACTTGCAAAGAGTCCATTTCAAAAACATTTGCAAGAATGAGATACTCACTGAATCACTTGCCTTAACCTGAATAACAAATGTGGTTTTCATGTAAACGGTGCTGTCACCAAAACAATGATGACCATCACACATCTGCCAGCATTTGTCACAAAACTGAATAAAACAGAGCGAGTGTCCTTAAAAAGAGCTGTGATAACTGATGGTTTGATGCCCTAAGCAAATGAGTTATCTGCATTGCAAATCCATTTTCACAAAGGTGACCTGGTCAATCCCCAGATGGAGAGCAGAAGCAGTATCAGCCTTTAAATTCACTTGTTCAGTCTGATGAACAAAGTAGCAAAGTCACACACACTAGATGGAGCCACTTACCTCTTCCAGGCACAAAAATAGCCAGAAAATTGGCTCTGAAACTGACATAGAGGGTGGGGACAAAAAAGGACAGCCACAAATAAAAACAAGTGCTTATGACAAATTGCTTACCTAGTTGGACAAGATACTGAATGGTTAAAAGTATCATATTCTCTACACTGAGCATCTGACTGCTGGTCAAACCCAGGAGATCCAAATCCTTGTTTTCCAGCTGTGGAATCTTGTAGCAATTCACCAGCAAGGGACTTACAACAATATCACCGACATTTCCATAGAAATAAGGTAAAGTGCCATAACCTTTGATAAAAGAAACCAAAATAAAACCAGAAATTCACAAAATTTGTGCATACATTTCCAAACTTCTCCTTAATGTTACCTTCCAAAATATACTCCATCAGTGACTGTTCTTGGCATTATAATTGCTTACAAAATAAATGATAGGCCAGTGATCCTTTGCTGTATTTTACAACAAATGACCACACAGATTTGCAAAAATTAACAATAACTGCATACCAGCAGGATAATAATTACTGTTACCCAAATACAAATTAGAATATTATCTATTTGGGTCTTACCCTGACCTTTAAATACAGATTCTCCATAATATAGTGTACAGAAAAGAAAAATCAATAGAGGCAAAAGTGCATTGATCTCAACATTATAAAAGCAGCATAAGTCACATTTGCATTGATTCAACCACTGTGGTATTGCTGTGATTGATTTCATTTTTTTGCTACTTTTCCATTCTGTTTTCATAAACAGGTTAAATAACCATCATCAATTAAACATGCTGTTCTGTAAGGTAAAGCACATGAGCAAAGCCTAATTCTTCTTTTCCTTGAGAATTTCCACAAAGATTTTGCCAAACCCATCCATGTGGGTACATCTGGTTCTGTACTATTAATAGGACACTGTTTCTCAGGGACACTAACATTTAGCCTAAATGAGGACTTCATTGGCAACTCTCCAAGAGCCTAAGGGCTATATTCAATTGGCACTTAAAACTGATGACTGTAGGCACCCTCATCTTTAATAAGGAAATGTTTCTCTGAAAACCATTAGAGCACCATGCTAGACCTTTAGAATAGGCTTCCAGAAAACAACAGGAAGGAAAACAAAACAGAAGAAATGTAACCCTATTCTTGATGGATTGATTGGTGTAGATGGCCCTGTTAATTCTCTGGAAATTGTGTGCATTAGGATCATCTGTGCAAGTGAGGACTTGGTAAACCTCTCCATTTCTTAAGGAATTATAAATTATTCCACGGATTGTATGGATAGGCATGGTCTGTTAACACTGAAGCTACTTTATACAACCATCTGTGCTATGCTGGACTGAGAAGAGATGTAGTCAAAAAAATCACTCATCAAAATTTTGGCAGTACTACCTCACCCAACTTTTGTTATATAGTATGCCCAAATAGCTCAGGTTGAAAGGGATATTCACATTATGAGTCATACTTTTAAAGTAAAAGCAATGTCTTTGTAAGGATTAACAATGTACTTTATATAGCTAAAGGATTTTAAAAGCCTGATCTGTTATCTCAGTTGCTTACAAGAAGAATGGACATTCAAGCCAAAAAAGTTAGTATAATTTACTTCTGATTAGTCAGTTTAAATCAGTTTTCTGGTTCTCACGTAGAATCCCTGAGCTTCAAGATCTAGACTATAAATGCTGCAGGAAATATTTGCTTGTTTTGCAAGTTGTTTACACTGGAAAGCTACTTTCATTACATGGAAATATTATTGTTCTTGGACTGTCCAAAAATCTTATTTGTACAAAACTTCAATTTGGCCAGAGGTTGTGTATAAATTTGACCTAGTTGCGACCCCTTTGCACATCAGGTTCTCCAGAAATTGCCTAACTTCCAATTTTAAATGTTGTGCAGCTAAAGCAAACTATCTATGACAAACTGACTTCATATTGTTCTGAATGCCAGAATCAACAAAAAGAAATCAAAACCCCTTTTTCCTAGGGGAAGATGCATTTGTCCAAAACGCAGCATTTGATTCCCCAGTGTGAGACTTACCTATCAGAATCACTGGTCTGACTCCTGAGTTATTCAGCAGGTTTTCAGGAACTATTACAGTCTCCCCTGCTGGGATGGGTTGAGGCTGTAAAATTCCAGTTAACATGGATTGAGGAACTGGGACTGACAAAAGAGGCTCTATAAAATAAAGACAAGAGAAGCTTCCATTACTAAAAGGCTCATACTGTGATTTGGCCGTATGAACAAATAAAAAAATTACTGCAGATCACTAACTGTAATAAAATTCAAAAGGTCTCTGCATTTCCTGCTATAGTTTTAAGTAATTTAAATTAAGAGACTATATCCTCCTGTAGCCCCACCCCTAAAATAAAACTTTTTCTGACCACTGTATTGTTGGTGGGAATGAGAGAGGAAAACACAGGTTTGAATATGCATCTTTAAACAAAGCCAAGTACTAAGCCAAAAGGCCACCTCTCAATACTCCCTCTCAATACAAGGGAAGAGACTGCTCTGACTTCTGACCTAGAATAGAAGTAGGTAACAAAAACAAATACAGGCCAAAATCTCAAAGCTGTCCTTAGGCAGTTGCTACAAGGAGAAAAATTGGGCTTTACTTATGAAAGAGCAAGAGCAGCTTTCACAAGTAAAAAGAAACTAAGTTCAAGAATTTTGTAATCTGTAATCGGGTTTCAGCGTGAGGTCTGCTTCAGAAGTTTCCCAGGCTTCATTTGGTGGTTTGTAACAGATTTTTCAAACGATGTCATCAATACAGGAGCATCAAAGGCAGCAGTAATGAATGCATATGTTTTAACAGTGGAAATTGTTTATCCAATAGAAAAAAATACTATGATGGAAAAATGGAGTACACAGGTTGGTGGAGACAAACTCAACAAAAAGGGGGACATTGCCTTATATCACGTATCTTCAGCAGGTCTCTGAAGCTAGAAAGCTAGAACAGCTGTGATTGATTTGAGGTGCTCAAGTATGCTGGGCTGCACTATCATGTAACCCATCTTCCTATGATGAGTATCTCTGAAAATTAATTCCAAAATATCTCAAAACCAAGCCCTAAAAAGCAGAGTTAAAAATATATTGTGCATGTTAACATTTTTTTTTCTTCCTTATATGTTTATTCTCTTACTCTATAGACACAGTAATAGGTGATTGTTTATTCCCCTTTACAAAGTACGCTGAATCCCACAACTGAAAAGTCCTTAAATAACGAACAGTTTTATTAATAGTTATGTATAAAGAGGTACATATAAGAGTACTGATGAGTGTTCACACATACTTGTAATTAATCCTATTTCATATCATGATGTTACATATCCCTCCTACAGCTTTGCACACACAACATACATTTGCTCTCACAAACTTTATGCTTATAACTAAACCTAGTGGACATCAGTGTCCTTTGCTAGGCCAAAATGATAAAAAGCCATTTTTCCTGTGCAGGAACCAGAGCGTCTGGTTTCCGTAGCATGCCACACCAGACTGAGACATTACATTCAAAGTGAAGGTTAATGGAAATCCTTCAAATATGTTCATATACCCATATACCTGCACAATTTTAGAGGTACTGAGTCACATTTGGGTGACTTAGATAGCTTTGGATTTTTATTGATATTATTTGCATCTTCCTTTCATCTCTCTCCCCCAGTAGTTTCACTTTCCCTGTGTCCCATCTTAGATTATGGCAAAAAGGACCAGGCAATCATGTGTGCTTTTCTGGGGCATCTGAAAAACTCTCCATGGTGTCCTTAACTACTTCAACAAGCTCAGTTATGTTTTCTGTGCAACACTTAAGAGAAGCAGCATCGGGCTACTGGTTTGGCTGAGTACAGCTTTTTACAAATGACATCTCTGTATTATTCAAGTTTTACCTGTTCTTGCCGAAGGTCGAATTGTAGGAACAGGTACCGCTGAACTAGGAGGAGGAACTGGGGACCCAGGAGACCATCCCCGGTGACGTTTCTTTGGTGGCCCAGAACTGGACATTGATGCTGAAAAAGAAAGTAGAAACTAATTCTAAACCCCATCCTCCCAAATGATCAGATTCCAGCCCATAATTCCATTTCACATTGGTGTTGAGATGGTATCACGCCACTCAGCGCCAGAGGTTTACAGCTAGATTTACACAAAGCCATACTCTGGTGTGAAAAATGTTGTTAGTTCTGTTAAAATGTCCAGCATTATCATTAATGGTCATGCCAGAAACCAAATGTCTCTGTAAAGACGCACTGCAGAAACAGCTATGATGGGAAAAAAAACCAAAATAACTAATTTCAAGCTCAACAGCCAGTGCAGCTTAAAATAACAGAACAGAGAGGTTTTCTTTACCCTGGTCTCCAGCTGCACAGCCAGGGCTTGGAGATGTCGAATGAGGCATTGGCCGAGAGACTGTAGAACTCAATACACTATTTCTTCCTCCATTAGCATTTCCACTAGCAACATCAGTGGCACGCAGTGAAAGAGGAGCTGAGTATGATAAAATACAGAGCATGTGGCTTGAGCCAGTCTTGAAAACAAACAAACAAAATAATAGGGCAACATGCAGACACAAAAGAACAGGGCAAGATGTGTGAATGAAAGAAACATACTCCAGGGAAATCATGAAGTGTACTTGGCAGAGAATCATTTGGGCACAGGCGGCAAAATCCTAACCTTGAAACGAGGTCTCCAGATTTCAGGGTGGGGAGGATGGGTGGAAGAAAAAAATCCAAAACAAACCCCACCAAAATAATATAAAAAATTACACACACACACACCAAAAAAAAAGTTATTGGGAAGTTTGCGACACATTTTTTTTAGACACTGAAAATTAACAAAAAAATGCACATAATGAATTCAGTTTGTTAAGATTTGTAAGCCACTTTGGTGTATCTATGTATTTTTTCCCCAGTCATCTATGTGCCATACACAGTAATTCACTACTGGGTTCTCATCTGAAGTCTTAGCAAATAAGACCGGGGAGGGAAGACAGGGCAGTTTGCTGCAAAGAATAACACAGTCTGAGCATTACTGAGGCAAACCATGCTTAACTTTGCTACCTCTGCCTAAGACAATTCTCCAGTCCCAGCAAGTCTGACTCCCAGGCCCACTATATCCAGATCACAAAATTAAACTAAACAATGGAGAATCACAAGATGTTATCATCACACTTCTGAGCTCCTTGTTCTTTTTCAGAGCCTAATTTTTGCAGGCATAAACTGCATAGAGCAGACACAGAGCCCAGTGGGGACTACAGCTCCTTGCTGTATCTGCCAGCTCCACAAGGATTTAGCTCCCAGGAACACATTCCAGGAGCAACAGCAGGAGATGGTGCAGCAGCTTGTTGATGGCAGCTGCAACAGAAAGAGTCTGAGATGTGGGTATTTGGCTTGAAACGATGTAACATGGAAGTCTCCAGCTGCAATCATCCAAATAAACTCAGGTACAAAATTCTCAGGTTGCCAGTTAGCAAAGTTTGAATAACAATCACTTGCCCATTGTAAGCTCCCCATTTGTACTCTGACTCAATGATTTGGTATGGACAGATACGGTGGAGGTGGGTCAGTTACAGCAGTGGTTGAAATGCTAGGGAAGTCATTTCAGTGTGTGATAAACTCTTTCTTACACAGCTACAGAGGGGAAAAGGGTACTTTACACAAAGAACTGCTAATGATTCATCAGATACAATGTAATAGCATTATGTATATATAATAATACATATTGTATAAAATACCGATATAATACCTCATGCAAAAAATGTAATGCTCATATGCATATATAAACCAAATAAATTTTACTTTTTCTTATTCAAGCATACTTCACTGTAATAAGTGTTATAATTTTTTTTCATTGGTTAAAGGGTTAACCAGCTAAATTAATAAACAGAATATCACAACAGAGTACCAGTGAGGGATTTAGATGCCACAGTTGATGGTTCTAATTTATTAAACACGCACCACAGAAATAATTAAAACAGCACAGATATTAAAAGTCTCATTTAAACGAGACCAAATGCCATTAAATGTATCTGGAGGGACTATACCTGTTACAAATGCAGAACAACACACAGCTCTTAGTTACTCAGGCAAGAAGCAGTGTCATATCAAGAGGCAATTTTTATACTCTCTTAGATATCTTGTGCAAAGAGGGATATGACATGCACTTTTACCAGAATGTCAAATCTGAAAGCCAAGGTGTGGCTCAGTCTGGGGACAGAAAATTGGCCAGAGGACTGCAAGAATGTGAGTTTTGGAGAATGCTGATTAATGTTTTCCTTTCCTTTTTCCACCAAAAAAATGACTCTTATTTCTTGGCTGTTAAGTTGGTAATTCTCTTGGCTCTCAGCTATCCTGGAAGACAAAGCCATACCTGCAGCAACTGTCTTTCCCACAAGCTGTACTGACAGAGCCAGAGGTTTCACAATGTTCTTGTTCCGGGACAGGTCTTGAGTTCCACTTAAGTTAACAGCAGAAGATGATTTTGCTGGACTGAATATTGAAGAATCTGACAAAAGAACTCGTTTAATTAAGGAATGATTAAAAATTATATATATATATGTGTGTGTGTGTGCATATCTAATTTGTATTATATACACGTGAACAGTCCTACACAGATAATGCAAACAATTTTTTTTACACACCTAAGAAATTATCTTGTGTCAGTTATCTTTTAGGAGTTGCAACAAACATTTAACTGGGCATTTCTACAGAATCTCATAATCTACTGATTGATCTCTTTCACAATATTTTGTATTCATATAACACAAAAACATGTAACTGTAGAAAGGGCTATCTCATTGCTCCTCAAAATACCCCAGTGGGATAGGCAAGTAAACACAGCTATCCCATGTTACAGATGAGAAAGCTAAGGCAAAGAGCTTACGTGACTTGCTCCCAGCAAGCATAGGGAATAAGCACTGGAATAAGTTGCCTAAAAAGGCTGTGAGATCTCCATCACCTGAGATTTTCAAGAACAAGTTATTGAACCTCTGTGAGACACAGATGAGTTTGACCTAGGGCAGAAAAGGATATCAAATACATAACCTCCTTAAAGCACTGCTGTTCTATAAAGCTATGAAAAGTGTATGTCCACTTGTAAATCTAGGTAAGAAATCTGAGACCAAACTCTTGGAATGAATTAACAAACAGCAACTCCTTAAAGCACTTTACCAAGCCTGGTATTAACCCTATTTTACAGATGGGTAAACTGAAGAACAAACGAATTCTAATACTTGCCCACCAAAAAACTGTAAATCAGAGCTGATTCCAAACCTCTCAGCACGTAGGCCCCTACTTTAACATCAGGAATTTAATATCTGCAATTCACTTCAAGAAAAACTCTACATTCAGATGCAGATTCACTGACAAGTCCAAATTCTTACAATCAGAGTGAAAGAATATTAACTCAGCATCTGTCCAGAAAGTAGTTTGCAACAAGTAGGCAAAGTAGGCTAAGTTCACCTACAGATGTCCTAGTGAAACAGCCAGGAAAAGAAAACAGAAGGCAAGACCAACTTGATCTGCCAAATGCATTCACCCTCAGGCCACACACCATTTGGTGAAGGAGGATGGGGAGGAGAGTCTGCTTTGCCAGACAGAGTAACTGAGATGGGGAATGAACACAGAAGCCTCTGCTGCTGCTGCTCCACCAGCAAACCTTGTCCATGTTCAAAGGAAATATGTTGAATGGTTAACACAACAGACCACCAGGTCAGGGGCTTTGGAGAAAAATGCTGGTCTCTCATTAAATATGATGTAGCAAATATGCAGTGTTAAAAGTTTTCCTCAAAGTAAACTGTCCAGAAGCTTTGGGAGTCTTTTTTCTTCTCTCTAGTTCTAACATATTTTATTGAAATGTTATCTATGACAATAGATGTGCCTGGTGTTATGTTTAAACATCACACTGGCACCTACACAGAACTCATAGTACTACCAGTTATTAAAATTGTTCATCCTTCTACTGTAAAACCCAGTTTGTAGTCACTTAACACCCTTTTAACACTAAGTCTTCCCTCTCGTGTGTCTTCCTAAAACTGATTTTTTTATACAGTTCAAGGTTTCAGCCATTTTTGCATTGCCAGTCACCTCTCCTCTGCAGTAGAACTGCATCTTCCCACACCGTTTTGAAAGGGGGACCCAACACCTGACTGTAACGTCATGGCCACACCATACTGTCAACTTTATGTTATTTCAAAATTCTCTTGTGCTCTAATTTTTATCACTAAATTACGATTTCAGTGCAGCACTCTGTGTGCGCCCATAACTGTCTTATCTACAGGTGTCTTCTAGAACCTGGAGACTGAACTGCTTACTTACAAGGGCAGAAAACAGAAATATTCACAATACTTTAAAAGGAAAAAAATGGGCACGAGTTGACAAGAAACTGAAAACAATTTCAGAAAACAACTCGCTAAGAAGTACTTCTGTTTTGAAATAACTGAGAATTCAACTCAAAGTACAAACAGCTATGCAGAGCCTAGGAGAGAAAAAGTCAGACCTCCATCACAGGCGACATACCTTAGAATTCATGCCACCAAAAAAAGGTACCCTCCCCCCTTCTCCCGGTCACAGGGGATTCATATGTATGCATGTGGCATTATCTTCACTAGAAGATAACAGTAGAAGGAGATGAAAAGGTTTTGACAACCGTGACCTAAGAGTACAAACAGTGACACACAGAAACACCAAGCAGACTGAAAATTGCAGTGAGTGATAAGGAGAAAGCAGTATATAAAAGGTGTATCTATTAACTTGGCAGGTACAATAGAAGACAAAGCTGTGTAAATATTGGATCACTTCTTGTTTCATATAAATAGGTTCCCATGCATCTGCACAGTTCTCATGCTAGGATCTGGAAGCCAAGGGATCATGCAATGAAATGCAGATGTTTAAACAACACTCTGATTTCATTTTCACCAAAGCCTAAAGAATACAGCTTCCTAAACAGAGACAGGGGTGACCACCTGGGGAAAGTGTCTCTGAACACACTGATCAGTGATTATAATGTCTTAAGAATGCATATGTTCAGCTCTTGTTTGTTATTTCCTTTTTAACATACTTTGTAAGTGGAAGAAGTATTTTAACAATCTTGTTTTTTCATCTGCATTTCATACTCCTCTAGAGAAATATATGTTCTAGTACATACATATCAACCAATTACAACAACTAATAGAAAGTTGGGGAAACTTTCTTTTTTTTTTTCAAGAAATAGCACAAACATACAAAAACAGATGAAGCTGCAATAAAGCAATGAGAGAAAAGCTCAAAGAAAAGCATCTTGGCTATTTACAATAAATAAATAAATGAATGAAATTAAGATGCTGCTTCTTTGTCAGCCAATGTCCATTTGATTTTTATAGTTCCTCCTCCTTTACCGTGTCATTAATAGCTCTCTAGAACAGTTATGAGGTGCATGCTAGCTCACATAACGCAAAACCACTGTATGTGTGAGGGGAAATTGCTATTCTAAGTACACTCTCGTGTGAAATAAAATTTAAATAAATAAATAAGCAAGCAAATAAATAAAAGCTGCCCTGCTAACCCCAAAAGGAGATTATTTTCAAGACAAATAACCTAGTCTGTATACTAAGTAAACACCTCCCTCTAAACGTGTAGTTCAAGTTTTTTCAGATCCACAAAGAATTAAATGAAACAAACACAGGGAGACACAGAATCAAATAAAAGAATAAAAAGATCTTTTAATACTTTTTAATCAGCTGTTCTTATGAGGACTAAGCTAACCTTCAGCCTCACCTGGGTCTTAATCTTTCACAAAGCAAGTTTTGCAAGGCATCCTCCTTGTAGTAATCTACACATGACTTGAGGTACATACCCAGTTGTTTACAGCATCCCTGAACCAACAACATCTGAGGTAACTCACCACCCCCAATGGTTACCTTTACAGCACTTTCAGCTCCTACCTGTCTGAGTGAACCCTGATTTGTATCCATTAGCTGATCCACCCTCTGGGGTCGTGGACGGTGACACCGAAGAATTTGGTTTAGCAGAGAGGCTAACAGCAGATGATTGCCTGCTCCTACATTCTGCAAACAAAGCAGCTACAGTACATATTAACAAGGCCTGCCTTCCAGTAGCGAAAGTTCAGCAACACGGTGGCGAAAGGTAACAAAATGTTAAAAGCATACATACAGCACGTACAACAAACAGCGGCAAATGGCAGCATTCAACGAAAATACGGCTCTTGCAGTTTAGTCAACTTTGTCTTCTAATTAAGAAAACCTCCCTGAGGGCCACTCAGAGGGCCAGGCAAATACAGACCAGATGCTGCAAAATGGCAAGAGCCCTCAGCTTGCAGCTTCTAAGAGATTTGAAGGTATTGGACATATCCCAGGAAACACTCAGCAACTTCTGTGGCACAACCTTTATACAAACTCTCATATGCTGCCCTTTAAAAGGACAAATTGTGCTCAAACCCGCATTCTTAGTGTGCCTCCACAAAACCTTCAGGGAGATCTCCACACTGTGAGTGTCTGCCTGGATGAAAACTGAGTTGAGGAGGAGAAAGTGACCTTAAAAATCACACATCAATCCATTTTTTAAACTGAGATCTAATCAGGTTTTATTTGAAGAGAAGGGGGTGTTTGAGAGCATTTCTCTTCTTCTAATTAGAACTTTAAGGTAAGTAAAAGGTAAGAAGGGTTACCAGATGGATGATATCAATAAAGGGATAGAGCCTATGAAAATAATGCCCATGAGGTCGATTCTTGGCTGATTTTCTAAACTTTCATGGGTGCTCAAAATACTTGCAAAACCAAAAGTGACCCCAGTATCTGCCTCTTCCACACCTTTATATCTGTGAAGAAGGTTTTAAATAGTTTTTCCATGTGTGTTACCCCAGCAGCATTTATCAGGACACACACCAACCCCAACTGCATAAGCATCAGGGAGGGGTTTCAGAAAAAAAGATTCAAAAAATTAAAATAAGGTTTCCTCCTTCTGTATTTGGAACTTCAAAAAGAGACTACCAAACTAAATCTTTCTGTAGTTTTTGTAAAAAATGCAGCTGAAACACACATCCACTCTAAAGCAGTAGTTAATTATACTTGTAACGAGAAAAACAGCTGAAACCAGGATCCCTTTGAACCACAAACTGATACAGTACTATAATCACTCATACAGCTCGGTGATAACCATCTCTCTCTGGTGTCATGCTGCCATTCACATGAGGATGTGACTCTTCAGAGGCATGTCAGTCCTCCTGTGGAGCTTCTCATCTCCTCACATCATCCTCCTTGGAACAACAGGCTCCAGATCAAACTCTTGTCTTTACTGAGACCACAGCTGAGGAAGACAGGCAGTCTGCATATACACCAACTTGGCAGACAGCGAGTAGCTGTTAAACCATTCTCAAGGATCCTTGAGTCTTTGCATGGCTCTAGCTCCAAAAACCTACACTCTCCAATGACAGACCCTATGGCTACCTTGCCTTGAGGTCATAGATGTCATCTCTTTAGCACATAACAATATCATGAAGGCTGCTCTGGTAGAGGGTAAGCCCCAGTGCAAAACACACCATAAACGGCAGGAGTAT